TATATACGCGATGAGCCTCCTCGGGGAGGTCGCGCAACATACGGGGGCTCGTAGCTACTCCGAGGCCGCGCGGAAACTTATGGGACAGGGCGTCGACCACCTCATCGCGGTTCTCATCATCTTAATCTGCTTTAGCGGGTCGGTAATGTACATCATCACGGTGCGGGAGCTGCTGAGATCCGTCCTTAATCGACCTAGCTCATCGACGTGGTTGCGAAGCTCGTCCGGCGTTGATTTCATGACGACGATGGTCTGGCTCTTCATCATGGTCCCGCTGTCTATCCCGAAGCTGATCAACTCGTTGCGTTATATTTCCTTAATTAGCGTTCTGATGGTTATATATTTAATGGCAATCATCTTTTCCCACTCTGTTGCACATGGCCTTAATAACCCTAAGATTCGGAAGGAGGTCGTTTTTTCTCGCTCGGGTAATGTTGCGTTGAAAGGGCTTAGTATTTTTATGTTCACGTTCCTTTGCCAATTAAACGCGTTTGAGGTCTTCCATGAGATGAAAACCAAGACGATATCGAACTTCACCCTGTGCTCTACTATTTCTGTAATCTTCTGCGCGTTACTGTATATGGTATCCGGCATATTCGGCTACATGGACTTCGGCAACAACATAGCCGTGTACGTCCTGCAGCGCTACGACCATGTAAATTCTGTTAGTGTGACGGTGGCATATGTGGGGCTTATCGTTAATGTCAGTGTCACCTTTGCGCTTCACATGATCCCCTTCCGAAACGCCATCTACCACTTTTCACATTTGGACCCGATGGGGGTGCCGTACCTGACGCACATCCTGGTCATGATGTTTCCCTTGACGCTGTCCCTTCTATTCGCTCTGTTCTTTTATGAACTTAATACGGTGATGAACGTAGCGATAGCCTTCTGCGGTGGTATCCTTTGTTTGATCATGCCCGCGCTTTGTTATATGTATTGTGGTAATTTTTCACATAAAACGGTGGGGTGGCTTAACTTTTTAGGAACATATTCACTTTTAATATATGGCTGCGCAGCGGTTTCGTTTGGTACAGTAATGACTGTCTATGCACCTGAAGTAGCTCCTTTGACTAAATGATTCACTAATCAAGTAAAGTTTCTGTGATCACAAGACACAGATTTCGATGTACGATATTTTTGATGAAAAAGTATAATTGTATCTTTTGTTTTTAATCTTATGTATCCTTTATTATTATTATTATTATTCAATAAAAATATCAGTTGTAGTTATATACGTGCGTGCACTTTTCATATGGAGGAAATGCTTTCAATAACCTAAAGTGAGCAGCGGTGTAGATATGCAGTCTTTATTTATTTATCAGCCGCAACGCTTTCAAATTTTGCAAATGCATCTTTTTTCATTTTAAGAAAAGAAAGGGAAAGATACACTTATATCAATGATTTTATTTTATTTCTGGACAAATAATTTTACTCTCACATCAACGAAGAGAAGGATGTGGACACACTAATAATATGCTTGCGTAGTGATTCCCATTATCCCAGAGACATCTGATAATAAGGCAAAATTATTTTAA